CAAAGACATAATAAAAAATAAATCCATAGGTTGCTGTTATAATTAGCTCTTAGGGGATCAGTTATGAGAGTTCATATATTCACTTTTTAAAGTAACTAAAGTTGTGATGAACTTTTCATGCTTTTAAAAGCATTTACTTGGAGCTAATTGGTGTCAACACGTATACATTCTGTACAATCCTATTCCCTCTCACTTTTTCTTTCCTCTGAGAGACATTTGCAAAGCTACCCACAGATGGTTCTGTTTGCAAGAATTTTTGTGCTTTACACTGGTTTCCAAAATACATCTTTAAATTCATCTATATGGGGGATTTACAGAATTGAAAGCTCTTGTTTCTTATATCTAATTAGAGCCATTGCTTCTTTCTTCATCAGTTTCTATTATGTGCATAGAGAAGAGACACTTCATTGATTTTTATATGTACTGCTGAACTATGGAAACTTATTTTATCATTATACCTAAAAGCTGTAATCGAGGTCCCTGTATTTCATTCTTCATGGCATGCTACAAGTCACTTAAAAATCTCTTCAGTTTGATTTAACTTAGTTGTAGTCTTGAAAAAAATCCAATTAAAATAAGTTATAGTATAGAGTTTTAAAAGTGCTCTGAGATTTTAGCTATTCTAAAAAGTCACCTACAAAACTGGGAATTTGTATTCTAGGAGAACCCAAGAACAATAACTTGTTTTAATTTTTCAATTGCTCAAATGAAAATATGTAAATATATATTTTTAAATATATTATTTTTAAATAATTTCAGTAATATATTTTGTGGGAGTGGTAGCAAATCAATGATATTTTTAGGTATCTGGATTTGGGGCTTGATTTTCTAATAAAATGCTGATGATAATTATTAAAACTTAAGAACAAAATAATTAAGTGATGATGTTCCATGGTAATTAAATATTCAAAGGACGAAGAAAGAATGATTTTGAAGCTAAAATGCACATGCTATAGAGCCCTTTAGGTTATCCAAACGAGCAATGTTCTTCCTCCACTCTACACTATGAGACACACTGTTGGCTAAACCACAAAAGGAAATACTTGGCAGTTGATTCAATTGTTAAGTAGTTGAGTCTAATGTAGGCTTATAAGGATGACTGTAGAGGCCCAAAGGGGAGGAATGGAAGGGTAGAAAACTGAAAAATGGCTCGGGAGATAATGAGAAAATCATAATGAAAATGCAATAAATGACTCCCCTAGAGGGAAGGGGAGGAGTGAGTTTCGGGAGAATAATTCACACATGGTTAGATTACCAACTGAGAATCCTGGACTTTATGATGCAATCGAAATTCTTGCTTGGGCTCTTCTATTTCCCACTGGGGGTGATTACAAACAAATCTTTGAGGTAAAGAATCTATTTGTGAACAGTGAAAATGACACCTGCATTTTGTTTCAAGACCAAAAGGGAAAAAAATGAGCAAAAACATAAGACTTGAAATTTTATCTGAAAAGAAAGATGTAATAACAGATAATCTGTGGAATGATAGTTATTCTGGCATTATTTATCTTAAAGTGGTTTTAAGTGCAATAGAGTGAAATCCTTGTGTGTTACTTTGTCTTTTAGATTTTGGAGAGATCAACTACTCATTTATCCAATGAGTATTATTGAGATACTTGTTCAATGATTGCTGTGTGCTATACCCAGTATAATACTTCTCATACATATGAGTACTGTCAATATGGAGCTTATAGTCACTTCCTAAAACCTAGATGTATGCTATTAATCCAAGGAAAACATTTTTTTTGTTGTTGTTCAAAATAAGAAAATACACCTTAAGGGCTCTAAAGATACACAGAGAAGTCTACATTTTTGAGGACAGAAGATACAGAGGAAATAGATCATAATTAATGAAAGAGAATTAGAGAACCAGGAGATGTCTCATCAGCAATACCAGAAAACTAGGGGCAAAATGTCACCCAAATTCTGAAGACAAGTATTCAGCCTAGAAGGCTGTGCTTAACCAAATCTACTAAGCAAGCATGAAGGGAGAATATAGCCCAGATACTGTTACTCTTTCCATTTTACAGATGGAAATACTGAGGCACAGATTTTTAGGGATTTGCTAAAGGTAAAGGTCATCTTGTTAGTAAATACTGAACCTAAGACCTATATCCATGTGTTTTGAGACCAGAACCTGCATCCTTGACTATAAATCTCTCAGTTGCTAATGCAATGTAAGTCTGAACAATTAACATGACTTTGCATGAAGGCAAAAAAGAAAAGAAAAGAAAAAGGAGAGAAAGAAAGAAGCAGAGAAAAAGGAAAAATAGTGCAATCATGGGTTCATTGCTAGAATCACAGAAATTAGAAAAAATTACTTAGTATTTAACAATATGCTTTCTGAAATATGTGTAGTACTAGGTTAATAATTTTAGGAAAAACTTTGACTCAGTGAAGTATTGCTGTAGATAAAAAAA